CACACACACACCTTCTCCTTCAGCTCTATCCCGCTTTCAAAAAACAGAAGAAATTACGTTATGAGCTGTTGCATCTAGGCTAATCGTTCCTTCTGTCTTGCTCACTACCTCCCTCCCCCGCTCCTTTCCGAAAAAAGACTCATCTCTTACTGTGTCTTATTTAACTTTATAAGATAATAAATTACTGAGATAAAAATTCTAAGAAGTACCATTCCTCACCTCCTCACCGCAATAAAATATGATGAGTAACTGTTGTAAAGTATAGTCACCAATTAACTTTTTTGTTTTTAAATTAAGGATTAGGCCTACCGATAGCTTTCGAAATAAGAAATATTGCGCCCATAGAATGCCAGGGTTCTAATTTCATGCCTCATAAATTTAAGAAAATGAGATTCAAAGATTCACACTTTTGTAGGTGCATGTATAATGTTTTTACACCTGATTTGTTATGCGTCAGATGGTGAAAAAAAAACTACAGGTCTGAACATCTCGAGCCCGTATTAACACAGTTCACAGGACATATATGTGTCAGTGCCGGGTAATGTATAGTGTGTAACTCAGTTCTCACAAAATGTGGAGTTAAAAATTAAAACCTTGTCATTCTAAGAGCGCGAAATGTTACAGAAGAACAATAAGAATAAATTGAAGGCAGAAACTAAGGAATGGAATATGACAGGTACATGTACTTAATAACTACTTACTGGGAAGAATACTCTTATGTAGATCTACAGAAACGCTAACGCTCCTCCAGAACATAGCCTATTGAAGCTGAAATTTAACTACTTTAGATATATCAAACGCCATGATTCACTTAAGAAACATTCTGGAAGTGGAAGGAAGCAAATGTGGCAAGAGAAGGATGGGGAGTTCTAACAGAAGATGGGAACTGGGAACATTAACATAGATACCTGGCTTGGAGCCAAAACAACGCAGGCAGGCAGAATGCCAAGAGAGAGTTTTATTGCAGAAAGGTCAGAAAAAAATCTCCAACTACTGGTAGAGCTAAGAAGAAGAAGAAGAAGAAGAAGAAGAAGAAGAAGAAGAAGAAGAAGAAGAAGAAGAAGAAGAAGAAGAAGAAGAAGAAGAAGAAGAAGAAGAA